AAGAAATTCTCCAATAAATCAAATCCAACTTGCAGATTCATCGAGAAGTACAAACGACAGAAATCCTGGACACTTTGTATGCTTCCTGGACCCAGAAAGGGTATAAATAGCATCCTGTGACAGACACATCCTTCTAGAACATAGCTGACATTTCAGGTGAAAGATCAGACATGGCAAAGAAGGGCTTCAAATGGGTGAAAACAAATGCTGAGAACTGGCAATATTAGAGGAAGGAGATGGCGGACAAGAGAGAAAATCTTGAAAAGTTGTCGTCTTTGAGTTTCACAGTGTCATGTACTCAGCGTTTCAGAACAACTGGTTGTTCAATAGACCCAGTTCCTTGTACCCCGGGAACCACCATTTCCCAAGAGGACTGTAAGGAAAAGACATCTTGGGAGAAAAATCAAAGGTCCAAGTTAAGGGCAGGCCTTAGTGAATGAAAGTGAAATCAAATCTGTTATATGGGGTCAAGAAGGATTCCAAACTAGGGGAGTGAGAACAAGACCTGAACTAGAAGGAATGCTAGAATCATGAGAGAATAAGATCACAGTAGCCATGAAAACTGAGAGTGTTACATCACAATTTCTGGACACTGAGCAGGGGAAAAATGTATCTGTGAGGTGGACAATATGCAGAGTTAGTAATAATCACCTCTCTGTTGTTTTCCTCCTAGAGAAACACAGAAAGAAATCCCAAAGCAGATTTCTTTTTTTTCTTTTTTTTAAGACTTTTACCAAAATCATGGCTTACTTGCTTCTGGGGGCTTCATTTGCTTCACAGTCTTCTAGAACTTACAGTAGGTATCTTCATTTATAATTTGGGTTTGATTGGCAGGTAAGATTTTTTTTTAGCTCAGCGGTATTTCTCAGAGGACTGGTAATGCATCCAAATACCCCAAGAGAAGGAATTTAGAAAATGCCATTAAACATCAGAAGCTTGGATTCTCTCTTCAAATGGGATGAACTGAAGAACATGAGTAAGGGGACAGAGCAGAAAGATGCTGAGAAATTGAAACAGATGAAAATTATAAACTAAATCTGTTCTGAGAAGCAATGGGAGGGTGTAAGATTGTCTAGTTACATGGTCCCAGAGTATTGGGATTTGCTCTCATCCCCCATTGACCTCTCTTCCAAATCCTGAATACTTGATTTGTAATTTTAAATCATCTCTCAAGATTTGGCCAAACTCTATACCACTATCACCCCAACTTAGCATTCTATTGTAGACACTCAACACTGTTTTCTTTCACCATCCAAGTGATGGCTGATTTCACAGGCCCAAGCAGCACAAAGTACTACATCACATGCCCCTAGCCCTTCATAAATGCCACTAATGTAACCGTACCACCAAACAGGCATCTGACACATGAAATTCACATCTTCACCTAATTCACATCAGCTCGCTGGTTTGACAATTGAACAAAATCCACAAATTTTACTCAAGTCCAGATAAGGTGTTTGTGTTTTCTTATCCCTACAATTTCCATCATGAAAACTTAGCCAAAAGAAAGAGAAATGGTTTTATAGCGATTGTTTGGGATGTTGCTTTTAAAGAAGCAAGAGACGGAAGTCTAGAATCAGTTTTTATCTCCTTTTAAAGATATCTATGTTCCTATTTCCTGTTTTTGGATGCTTCCCAAGTACTCTCAGTTCTTTGCAATGCCTCAACGTTTAGCATATTTCCTAAATTTGCATCCTAAGAATTATGGCTTTGAAAGTATAATAACACTTAACTCATTGTAAATTCTTCCCTATATTTTGTTTACCCTGCATTGCAATACAAATATATAAAGTCACGTTATCAATTCTGAGTACTCTTTTTGTCATGAACACCAGAGAGATGCATGGTTAAAAAATAAAATCATGCTCAGAACTTCAAGAGTAGGAATTGTGAGGCAATGTCGCCCAAGGGCCCTTCTCAGCCCACAGGCTTTATCAGACCAAAAAGAGAACATGTTCAAGGTAACAAAATTCATAGGGTCAGAAGAAATTAGAAATGAAGCTGAGGTGCTAAGGCAGAAACTATATATAACAGAGAAACAGTTTCCAGATAATAATGTCCAGAGTGTTTCTGTAGATTTTCTATCATGGAAGGCTTCTATTACATCTGTCGTTTTCCCATGAGCTGAAAACTTCTTACAGAGTTTTATTGCTTAGGTGTGTGGACATCAGACACTTGGGAGGGTGGCTCTTTGCTGAAAACCACCAGAAACATGACTGGACCATTTATATTGGTCATGTTTGAATAAATCCAACAACTGTAAATCTAAAGACATTTTTAGTAGTATTTCTAAATATGCACTATCTTCTCATGTTCCTTTACTATGAAAACACTTGTGTTTTCTTCCAGAGTAAAGTTTCAGGAAATTTTTTTTTTAATGAACCTAAACTGGGACTAAGAAATAAATGATTGGGGTTTAAAGAATGTGGATTTTTAAAAAGACAGCCACCTACAGCACTCCCAAGTTTGAATAAAAAGAGATGACTGTAAAAGACAGTCCAGTGAATGGTACTGCTGGAGAACATGATTGGGAAGTGGAAAAGTCTGCATTTAGATCCTGGCTCTGTGCCTTTATAGATGGGTGATCTTGGGCAAATTACTTAACGTGACAAGCTTTCATATCTATGAAACAGATATCCCACCTATTTCATAGCGCTGTGGTGGGTGCCATTTTAATGATTGTATACACATGAGGCACTCTTCTTTGGTCCATATTTTAAACGGCTAGAAAAGATTTCTAGAAAATGAAGCCATTGGATAAAGATTTTGTGTGAAGGATTGCTAGACCCCTATCAAAGATGACATACAGAATGGCCCATGGGTTTGCAAGAAGATGCTCAACATCATTCATTGTCAGAGAAATGCAAATCAAAAGCACAATAAAATATCATCAAACATCTTGTTAGAATGTCTATTATCAAAAAGACACAAAATAATACATGTGTTGGAAATGATGGGGAGAAAAGGGAGCCCGTGGGCACTGTTGGTGGGGATGTAAATTGGTGCAACCACTATAGAAAACAGAATGGAGGCTCCTCAAGAAATGACAAATAGAACTACTGTGTGATTCATCAATTCCACACCTAGGTAACTTATCCGAAGGAACGTAAAACACTAACTAGAAAAGATATCTGTATCCCCATGTTCACTGCAACATTATTTACAAGATATGTAAACAACCGAAGTGCACATCAACAGATAAATGGATAAAGAATATGTGACTTTATATCTATACTAGAGGCCTGGTGCATGAAATTCGTGCATGGGTAGGGTCTGTAGGCCTGGCCAGTGACCAGGGCTTATCGGGGCCGTCTAGCCAAGTCCTGATCGGGAAGTTGGCTGTGGGAGCACACTGTCCAGAATGGGACAGCTCCCATGTTGGGTGTCTGTCTCCTGGTGGCCAGTGAGTGACTTAGCAACTGGTTGACCAGTCATTCTGGTTGTTCAGTTGTAATGGTCATTTAGGCTTTTATATATCTACTAGTGCCCTGGTGCACAGATTCATGCACATTGAAAGGAAATTAATTAGAAGGTGGCCCATGGGGCAGGATTGGGCAAGATGGACCAGACACACCCTAGAGCCAACCCCCCGAGGTTGCTCCCTGGCTGGCTGCACCTGGGGCGGTGCTGCGGCTCGAAGGCAGCACCACAGCTTGAAGGGCATCTGCACAGTGAGTGGGGTCCCTCGGCCTGGCCTGTGGTGATTGGGCCGAAACCAGCTCTCTGGAATTCCCCAAGTGATCCTAGATTGAGAGAGGGCAGTTCTCAAGTGACACACCCCAGAATCAGGCTCCCTCCTCTCTGATTCCAGGGTGCATCACCCAAGAACCGCTGCTGCCAAGTCACCACAGCTTGGCAGCTCTGCATTGAATATCTGCCCCCTGGTGGTCAGTGTGCATCATAGCTACCAGTCATACAGTCATACAGTCAGATGCTCACTTAGCCTTTTATATATACAGATATGTCAATATATCTATCTATCTATCTATCTATCTATCTATCTATCTATCTATCTATCTATCTCCAGAAGCAGGGGTGGGCAAAATGGGTGAAAGGAGTCAAAGGTACAACTTTCCAGTTATAAAATAAATAAGTCATCGGGATGTACTGTACGGCATGGTACCTTCAGTGGATAATACCGTATTGCATACTTGAAACTTGCTAAGAGAATAAATCTTAAAAGTTCACATCACAAGAAGAAAAATTCTGTAACTATGTATGGTGACAGATGTCTAGACTTACTATGGTGAACATTTCACAATATATACAAATACTGAATCCTTATGTTGAATAATGATATGTGTCAATTATAATTCAATATAAAAGATAAGTGGTAAGGGGAGGGATGGGATGTGGAAGAGGGCATAGAAGAATAAATGGTGATAAAAATAAAATAAAATAAAATAAAATAAAATAAAATAAAATAAAATAAACATATAAATGAATAAAAGCAGGCTGCAAAGGTCATGCTAATTAGTTTTTCTTAATATGCCGCTAAAATTCCATTTCACATGAAGCTTTATGCCACTAACCACTGTATTTATTCAAAAATTACTTTCCTAAGCTATGCTTAAGAAGAGTAGGAAAGGCTACTTCTAACTTTCAAGCTATGTTCAGACACCAACCTGGTGTGTAAAACTGTACAAGATCAGTTTCAACCACATACATAACCTATGCTTTATTAAAAAAAAAAAAAAAAAAAAAAAAACATGCTTTAACTCATGCTTTATTAAAAAAAACAAAAAACAAAAAACACACACACAAACAGATTTTATGCCTCCACGGAGGTGCCAGGAATTTCTCGCCAGAAATACCTATGGTCTTGCTGGACAGGCTGCACCAACTCCCTGCCGGGGCCTCCTTTTGCCTTCACTTGGGCCTCCAGCTATGAGCAGCCACAGGGCAGGTGTCCCTCCATCACTGCCAAATGTCTCCCTTCAAAAACCCTGGATTCATTATCTCCGAACTCCTCGGAAGGGAACGTGCGTGGCCTTACTTACCGCAGACGTTAGACGCGCAAGAATTTCATCACTGCTTTCTTCCGAGTCTTCGATTTTCCGATGAGACCTTTGAAAAACAGAGGACAAATTACCCTTCAGCTCTGGTTGCTCAAATTTATCTACCAAGTTATGGGGAATAAGATGGCATTCCCACTGTTTAATACACGACTGTCTAATTATTTTTGTTTAATACATTAGTGAACGTCCCCAAGCAAATAACACGGTATCAGCAGTGCCATGGGAATTCAGTTCTGATGCAGCTCAAATGTCCCTTCAAATTCAGTCAGCAAGAACCTCTCACAAAACACCAGCTCAAGCCTGAAGATGCAGTGCTGTTCTCCCAATGATTTCACAACATAATCCCGGCATGCTGGATGTACAGATACAGGCATACACAAAGCATAAGCGGCTGTGAATATGTGCTGGTTAAGCACTAACATTCCCTCTAGACTAAATGAAATCCAGATTTTGAAAATATGAATCATGCATTTTCCACTACATCTGAGTTCCAGCCGAAACAGATGTATTCTGAAATGGTCTATTCTAGACCTAACACTATGATAGGATTTATGTGGAAAACAATCGTAGAAGAAGCCCTTTGTTCTTTTTTAAGAGAGACAGCCCAGTTAAGAAGCCAAGAGAGGGGAGAAAAAAAAGCATATGCATATGTTGAACCTTTACAGGGATATATATTACACAGTACAAAATCAGTTTGTTTAGGAAAATCACCTTCCTAATGTAATTCATGAAAAAATGTTCACTGCCCAAATGCATGTACTAACGTACAAAATGATCTACTTTTTAAAACAAATCTTACAGAACTTCATTCTTTTTCTTGGTTTGGTCAAAGAAAAAAATTAACTAATGCCAGTGAATATATAAATTGTCTCCCAGGTCCATATTTCCACAAGCAACCCCTTCTCCCCTGTGGAACTGGAAGGGTGTGCTAACTGCCCTGCAGAGCGGCGTTATCAGGATGGCAGTCCAGTGACTGGTTTCAGACACGGCAATGGCAGTGGGCGGCTGGGGTGCTAGGCCAGAGGGGCAGGAGGGCGGCTCCCAGCTCACAGGGGAGCTAAGAAGCTCTTTAAGAAAAGAAACGCTGGTCAGATCAATTCTGACATTGGCTTCTTGTTCTGTACATGTTACTTAACCTTTTTATAGAAAACAAGCCATACTCTTTCAGAGCAGTGAGTTACAAACTGCTCCCTTTATAAGAATTGCATGATGCAGGTATGAAACAGTGCCCTGTTGTCTGATGGCTTAATTACTTATGCAGCAGAGGGTTTGAAACATTACCTAATGACCTACCAGAAAAAAACAGTGGGAATGGAGCATGATAATTTATTATTTTCCCCCCCAAAAGCAAGTTATATTGATAATAAATATTTCAAACAATGAGCTTTATTATTAAAATTATCTATTCGCAAGGTTTCCCTGTCTGGGCAATATGGCTCAGTGGTTGAGAGTCGATACAGAAACCGGGAGGTCACAGTTGATTCCCAGTCAGGGCACATGCCTAGGTTTTGTGCTCGATCTCCAGTAGGGGGCATGCAGGAGGCAGCTGATCAATGATTCTCTCTCATCGTTGATGTTTCTATCTCTCCCTCTCCCTTCCTCTCTCTGAAATAAATAAAAGCAGTTTTAAAAAGGTATTAAAAAGGTTTTACATTAAGGAGAGATTTGCAACCTTTTATAACCTTAGCCACCAAACCAAATTTATATGATTAAGTTGAGGTGACTGACAGATCTGTCAAGAAATGAAGCACCAAACGCATCGAGACACCAGGGCACACCCTAAGGGCTTCGGTGCTCCGTCTGGGTCCACTGACAGGCGCGCTGGCCATGCTGTGCCCTGCTTCTCAGACCCTGCAGACGCCTGGGTTAGCTGATGGGATGAGGTATTTCGCACCACAGATTCTGTCATGAATGTCATTTCAACCAACTTCTGAGAGAAACTCAAAATTCCAAGGGAAGCTCTTGTGTTTGTGACTGATAATGACTATTTCATGAGTGATGGCTGAGGAGTTGCTGGTTCAGTGGCAAATAATTTAGTCCCTGTTCAGAAGCAAAACTATCTGTCATCATTCTTCCAGCACAAAACATGTCTCAGCTCAAGCGTTTCTAAAGGAAATGTGCCCGAGGAAAGCCGGGTGATGATCTCCAGAGAACTGCCCGCAGCCCATGCCCCACATTCGTCACCTCAATCAGCACAGTGTGTGCCCGGACCTCCCAAATCTTCCACCGACCCCGAGCTCCCCTTGTTTTTCCATCTGCCTTCAAGGTGGCTCTAGGTGGCAATTCCAGGAATGTTCACCCACGTGGGGAATCGTTAGGCTCTTGGAACTCGGCATAACTTATACCAAACTCCTCTTCCTCCTGCCTGCGCCCCTCACAGCTCAGCTTCATGGTCACCCTGTGGCCATCCCCTTCCTCCAGCCTCGCCAGACACCAGACTCTCTCACTTCCCTTTCTCAGGCTCTGCTTTCCTTCAGTCCCTCATGGTCACGGTCAAGCCTCACTGACAGTTGAGGCCTGCACCTTCTCTTGCACAAATTATTTTAACCACCTGATCAACTTCTTTGTCTCTGGCTTCTTCCCTTGTGTTCAATCTCCTGCAGACACAAGGATTACCTTCCTAAGACCCAGATCTCGTCCTGCTGTTTTCCAGACTCCAAACCAGCAAGGGCTATCCCCTGGCCTGCTGAGAGCTGTAGAATTCAGAAACACCCTTTCTTTCCTGCTGATGTGTTTCCTGCCCCAGGCACAAGCAGGCACCTGCGTCTCACCAGCTGGGAAGGAGAGTCTTGGGAGCAGAACTGGTGGGAATGGGCAAACAGTCAGAGTCTGAAAAGGGGAAAGGAAGAGAGAATGCTAACCCTCAACCACTTGTCTTCCTCACCTCTTGGGTCCCACCTCAGCTCGATGCCAAAATGCCCAGAAATACCAGACCGTCTTTCCTCAGCAAATGTATTTTCATAAAATGTAGGTGAATTCTGATTATTTTACATATGTGAATACACATCAGTGCAGTACGGTGAAGACAATGTTGTCGTATATCAGATCAAAATAGATCATGGAGTAGGTGGAGCAAGGGAGAGTAAAGCAAAGAATCTATTGCAATTCTTGCGATTTCCCACGTATTGCTCAGTGGATAAGAGAGGAAGAGAGAAGTTCTGAGTATGGCTAGGGAAGGGAAACACAGAAACCCAAGCTGGAATCCCCAGGTACCGGCAACAACAAGTTGACTTTAAGATAAGAAAGGAGTGACCCCAGGAAGAAAGACCCATCCCTGTGGGTTTGTGCCAGCAGGAAGCTCCCACCCAGTGGGCACACCCCTTTAAGCATGTTCATGGCTGCTTCTCGGTGTCTCTGCTTAACAATAGCCCAAGCCAGAACCCAAGGCCTAGTGCTGCAAGCAGACATCTTTATAAGTTGGAGAGGTTAATATCTAAGGGTAGTTGAGAGGACACAGGAGTGGTCTTCTGCCCTGGTCCCCCTAACTATCAAATTGGATATATTATCAGTCTACCCAGCTCCCACAAAAAATAAATAAATTAATTAATTAATTAATTAATAAAATAAAATAAAATAAAAAAAAATAAAAATCCTGCCCTCCCCACAGTCTTTCCTGACCTTAACTAATAGCAAGTCCATCCTCCCAGTTCCTAGTCAGCCTTGATTTTTTTCTCTTCTCCCCCCAAGCACAGCCACCCACCCACAATCCACATTGCATCCATCCTGGATCCTACTGGCTTCCAGTGTAACTCATATTTAACCATTTCTTACCACCTCTGCTACTACTGTGGTCCAGCCACAGAATCTCTAGCTTGGACCCAGGAGCCAGGGTGGACTTATTAATATGCAAGTGAGATCATGCCCCTCCTTTGCTCAGAATCCTCAAATGACTCTCCATCTCCTTCTGCATAAAATCAAAGTCTTTACGAAGCTCTTGGGATCTGGCCTCCTGGTTTTCTTATCCCTCCCTCTCTTATCTCCTCCAGCCACACTTGCTTTGTTTCGAAGCTTCTGCCTTCAGCCTCTGCACCAGCTGTCCTCGCAACCTGGAACGCCTTCCTCAGATACCCACACTGCTCCTCTCCTGACATCCTTCAAGTCTCTGGCAGCTTCCCAGAGAAGCCTTGCCTGACCCATATCCGTAGCCCTCATTTCCCACTTTATTTTTCTTCATAATGGTTTCCACCTTTCACCAACATAAATCTGTTCATTTATGAAATTCTATCCTCCCCTACTAGATTGTATGCTCTGTGGGAGTAGAGACTTCTGTCTGTTTTGTTCATTGTTGCAATCCCAACACTTAGAACACAAACTGGTGCGAGAGACATTCACTAACTATTTGTTGTAGACAGGGTGGGGCAAACGTAGGTTTACAGCTGTGGGTACATGAAACACAGAATTTGTCCTTGGGTTGTTATTGATTGCATTATTTCCCACATGAACAGCTGTAGGCCTACTTTTGCCCCACCCTGAATATTTACTGAGTGGGGCAAACTTCAAGGAATGCTCTGCTCTGAACTACCATCACAGAAGTATTGCTGCACAAGATATTAACTAGTTACCTAATCAAGTCAACTGAAGGACCCTGCTTATACTCAAGATCTATTCCCTCTAGTTATTCATACATTCTCCTAGCTCCCTGCAGCAGGTCTTCCTTTCAATGACCTTTTTGTCACTAAAATCCAACAAGACTGACTTTCTTATACTTAATAACAAAGATTTGGTAACTTCGAAAGTATATCATTTTTTTTTTAATATATAAGCAGCATAATTACCACCCCCTAATGCCTGATCTTTTTCTAGGAAATAACTAGTTAGCACAGACTTAATGTCAGTACCCTACCTAGGCAACTGTTTGACAATCATTTACGCAATTCATGATGCAAAAGAAAAGAAGCAGAAGTTCGCCACCCAAGGTCTTTCAACACAAACTCTCAGCTCAACGTGGTTGAGTTCCAATAAAGAGCATTAGGAGGCAGCACACAGGAACTGTGATCTGGGGAATAATTTCATACAGCCAGTCCCAGCGGCATCTCCAGCAACTTGGGT